CGATGATTACGGCACTCATTAAGCCTTACATTTTCTTAGGTATCAAAATGATGAGCCTTAAGAAAATAGTGGATTCTTATCGGCCAAAAATCTTTAACTTATTTTTTTGTCAAATTTATACACAAAAATACTTGCAATTAAATGTCTCAAATGAATGCCTCGTTTACGTTATACTGGATGTGATAAATAAAAGCCATATTTGTCCAAAAATGGTATTTATTATCAAATTTATTGACTCAAAGAGGCTGTGCCTTATAAACCGTAAATAAGGTAATGGTATTTAAAAATTGATTCATAGATAACAACTCCTTAAAATGCTTATCCTTAAACTATAACTCATAGCATACAGTATAATAATATTTATGATTATGATTTTTAATATTTTTTAGATAATTAATTTGCTATAACTCACTACACCTTAATTTTTCAAATAACAAAATTTTGTATTTGAAATGTGAGTTTTTTAAATATAAAAAGTGTTAATAAAAATTTCAATCTCGATGTGTGTTCTCTATAATGATAATAATAGTAATAAGATTTTTAAACGATTTTGTTTTTTTTAAAGAGTTGTTACATTTTGTCAAAAATATTAGTTTTTGTTTCTTTTGAAAAAAACTTTAGCAATATATATAAGACACACACAAACACACAGACAATGATTGAAAAAAGTTTACTTAAAGGTATTATTATTATACTATCGTGTCTTCAGTTAAATGCATGACTTGTTGTTTCAATCGTTTTACTTGTTGTTAAACATCTTTTTCTCTCCCATTAAATGTTTTTGGCTTTAAATATATGCTTTAAATGATAGTAAAGCTGAGAGAAAAAGTTTTTTATAGTAATATCAACACAGATGTCAAGTCTTCTTATGTGTTTAACTGAGTAACTCATTGACAATACGGCAACAAAAAAGTATTACTAATGTCTCCCTCTTTAAAGACATGAGTTTTTACAAAAATTAATATCTCATTTGTTATTACATTATTTTACTGTTAAGTACCATCAGTACACTATTAAGTATAATTTATGAGAAATTTTGGAAATAGCCATAAATGATATATTTGACAACAATTATGATAATTTCCTATCGTAATTGTTTAATAGATATAAAACTTATAAATTAGTTGCAAACACATATTGCAATTGAAAAAAACAATATAAAATAATATAAAAATAGCCATAAATAATAACAAATAACATTAGACTACTATTTTCCTTTATTAATTAGTCCTAGCAACATATTATTTTATTAGTAATTGTTGTATCATAATTATTAATTTATTATAGATGTAAATTTCATAATTTATTTGTCAATTGATAATAATCATTATAACAAAACAATAAACAGTAATAATTTATTGTAGGCCTTTAATATATATCTATAAACTATAGTTTATTGTAATGTTTTAATTATCGCCAAATTAGTCGTTGTTTAAAATTATTTAATGTTTAAATGCGATATAAATCCTCTAAAAATAAGACTAAAAGAAAACCATAAAAAATATATTTTATTATTATTTTCCTTAATTAGTGCTTCAATTGCACTGATAGTCTTCATATAATTACCATCACTTATGAGAACCCATAAACTAAAGGTAAATATACAATAAAGTAATAAAGTTTATGTAAAATTGAATATATTATTATATGACAACACAATGATATAACGTTTACAATGTTGTATATATTATACATTATATCAGAATATTTACTATTATATAATAATTATTGTCAACATTATTATAGAGTAAAATGTATGACAAACAACATAAAATAAAATCACAAGTGTCTAAAAATATAGCCCCAAATTATTACCACTACAACTATTGTTAATATAAGTATTACTTTTTTGTTATTTTTCATTCAACAACATTTCTAACAAAATTACTACATAATTATAGTCTTAATTTATTTAATGTTTGGTTAAGCTTAGTCTTATTTTTTTGATAGAAAAATAATAACAAGAGTTAAGAAAATTAGTTTTTTACATTATTTATATTATATTTTATTTTTATATGTAATTAGATAAGCGGGTAGTTTGTAGCATATAGGGTGACATTAATGTGACAAAACTTAAAATAAAATAGTATTTAAAAAAAACAATGGATTTTCGTATTTTTTTTGAAACTATTATAAGCAATTAAATAACTAAATCTAAATTTTCTTATTTAATAGCAAAATTATTTAACTTAAATGTCACATCTTATGCTATTTAAAGGTAATTATTATATATCTCAGCTCTACTAACATTAATAAGCGATATAATACATGGATGATAGGTATAAAAGCTCCGGGAGTAGAGACTAGTAGTGTATTTTAATAAATGGGAGACATTCCGGATGCGATAATAATAATGTATATAATAAATGGTGGGATGGCTTATGACGGAAAATGTTGATTATATATATATATATATATATATATATATATATACTATTATATATATATATACCCATATTATTATATACACGTTGTCTAATTAGTGACCGTAATATTAAGCTAGCAATAAAATATTTGCCTTAAATATAAAGTTTTCTTATATATTCATAAAACCATTATTATTTCAACAAAAATATAAATGTAATATTATTAATTAAAATACAATCTAAATTTTTGTTTGTTTCCCTTTAATTAGTTATTTATAATAATTATTTTCATCATTAAATATGAGACACAAAGTAATTAAAAGAATTTATTGATATTACATGTGCTTTAATAATAATAAATTAAAAACTTATTGTAAAAAAATTTCTCACTTTTCTCTTTATATTATAAGTGAAATACACTTAACTCTTTAAGCACTGTTATAATAATAATTATTATATGATTAATATTATGAGAGGGTATTACTGGGCATATTCAAGACAATTATGTGGTGTTTTAAAGTAATTATATTAAATAACATTCATATCTTTTTGAAAATCACATTGTGTTTGGTGTTTAAGCCATTTATTTTGTTTTCATAGACAGTAATCACTTATAAGAAGCGCTGAAAAAACTTTACAAATATTGTTATCGTAAAATAGTAATACAAATATTATTTTGAAAAAAATTCATTTAAAACACACTTTATTACAGTTTGTGTTATGGAAACAAACAAAATTATATACTTTGCTTAATATTATCTAAATATTATCCGTTTATTATATGTTAATATTAGGATATTTATTAATAAGAAACAACACAATTGAGATCAATGAAAACAAAACATAATCTTTGATGAAGTTTTTATGTAAATAAATTGAATTTTTATTATTAAATTTATCATTATTATTATAATAACGATATATAATAACATTACAAACAAATTTAATATATGTAAAAATGGATTTCAAAATTCATTATATATTTATTATAATTTATGTCTTATAATGTAATACTGTAATATAAAAGAATTAATGCATTTATTAATTATAATAATTATTATATAAATATATTGTACATGATAAATAACAAAAAGAAATTTATATCATATTTATAGAAAAATAAAAAATTATTATTTTATTGTTTATATCTCTCTTATTGTTTATTTTAACAAATTTTAGATATTGTGTCACAATTAATATACAATTTTTATTTGTTTCAATATGTTTATTGGCAAAATTTATGAAAACATAAATCAATATAAATAAATTATAAATTAAATTTTTGATATAATAAAAAAATGAAAAATGTTATATCAATAAATATTTGTTTATTTTATACATAAATTTTGGTTGATTTTAATAGCACTTCAAAAATATCAACAAAAAAAATCTCAGTTCAATCATTATTATGACATTTGTATTATTACAAAAAAATCTCAATAATTACTCGGTTTATCAAATGTTTGATAATTACAAGGTATTGATTATATTTTTGTAAATACAAACTGATAATTATAAGAAAATTATTTATGTAAAGATATAACGAATAAACTAATAATTATTGATATTTAATACTATTTGGTATTTGCCGTAACTATGAATTAAATAAATGCATGAAATTTATTTAATATTGACAGTTGTATTACAAGTAATAAATGTAATTAATTTTTGATTACTGAGCAAAAATTTTGTTGTTATGGATAACCATAATTAAAATGCATATATATTTCACAGGCATTTGCTATTTAGTAATGAATTATATACTATAGAATTATATATATATAAACTTTATTGTATACATGTGTGAGATTTATAAATTGTATATTATAAAAAAGTTTATTGCATTACATATATATATATACAATATATTTGTACATTTAATTAAATAATTATAATATTTATGTACATGTAGTTTAGTGTATAAATTATAATAAAAACTTTATTATCTGTAATTATGCAAGAAATATTTAACACTAATAGTGTTATTATTTCATATTTATTATTATTGTATTAATTGTAAATTTATTATTTATAAATATAATGATTGTTATGTGCAATAAAAAATAGGGACTGTCGTGTAAATGGATTGGCATTATTACTATTACTGTATTCAAGTATATTTACATTATAACACTATAATAAACGATTTGTAAAGATTTTTATTATTAACTTTTGCAATAATCTTATTATTTATTAAAAACATTATTTATAGACAAATAAAAATAAATGAAACTTTTTTTGTTGATATAGAATTAAACAATAAATATTTTTTTAAAAATTGTATTAAAATAATAATAATAAATTATCATTATATTAACAATTAGAAAATACCACATATTTTTATGGACTTAAATATCATTTTGTGTGGTATATATATATATAGAAATAAAGCTCACATTTTATTTTGTTTTAAGTATTGTTCCCTTAAATTATTTGTATACCTCTAATAAGTAGATGAAAAATATACAGTAATATATAATATTTGATCAGATTTATCAAAAATATTAGTTTATACGATATAATTTATATTAAATGATTTGCTATTTAAAATAATATTATTTAGCAATTTGATGTGTAATTTAAATTAATGTTTATAATGAGAAAAATAAAATATTTGATTAAACAATTAAAGCGCTAATAATTAGTGGGATCAATATCCTCGTCCTCGTCTTCATCAGTGCTTACCATATCTGAGCCGTCGTGATGTCGATTGTGGCTACCGTTGAATCCATTGCCACCTTTGATGTCTTCCTCGTGTTTCACGCGCTTATGTTTTGTACGTCTATTTTGAAACCACACTTTTATTTGAGTTTCGCTGAGATTCAGATCCCGAGCCAACTGTTTGCGTTCACTGCCGACCACATACTGGTTCTTCTCGAAGACCTCTTCGAGTCGGAGCAGTTGTGACGGTGAGAATGCTGTACGTATGCGCTTAGGCTTACGGAACGGTCCCAACAAAAAGTTTGGTACACCAGAAGCACCGTAACCTAATCATACAAAAGTTTGGTTTTTATATTACTTTAAAGTTACGAAAACTATTACTAATACTATTACTGCCACATCTTATTTAATAATATTTTAACTAAAATGTAATTTTAAAAGTTTTCAATACATACCGCAAACTTGTGGCAGGAATGGGTTGCCGGCAGTAATGAGCCGGTTCTCAAATGGACGGTAATATAATTGGCTACAATAGTACTGACTGTTGGCGTACGGTGACGACTGTAAAAGATGACTACCGGCGCCGTCGACAAATTGACTCATATGATGGTGAGCCGCCAGTGCCGATGGACTGTGTGCTCTGTTAGCTATATTATGTCCGTTATTCATATTTGCTCTCATATTTAATATCTGGTCATATGTTTTACTAATGCTATGATTATTATTATTATTGTTATTATTATTGATAACAATAGGGTTATGAGTAATGACGGCGTTATTGTTTTCGGCTTTTCTGTGACTACTGTATTGATGAGCACCGGGAGGAGTAGTTGCTATCTGTTGACTAGCGAGTCTGCTTTCATTGAGATGATTGGTTGTCATATATGATCCTAAAATACCATTTTTGTTGGCCGCTGATGACGACGACGTCGATGAGGGCGACAATCTGTTATTACTATAGTTTACGTATTGATCGTTAAGTATTTTCAGGCCATTCGCTGGTTGTTTGTCATTACTGGGTGTCGGCGATGGTGTTGTCGAAGATGAAGAAATTAATGTTAACGATTCCAACGCTGTGGACGACTTGCGCGACAACTTTTCGTCTTCAGGGGTCTCAACAATATTATTGTCACTATTAGTGTTGCATTTTTTCTTATCCAAGTTTCCGACCAATGATTCAATAGAGAAGGCGTGATAATTAGGTTTATACATATTTTTCTGTTTTTCAATCGTTTTCGGTACACAAGTCACAGGACTAACCGCTGACCGCTCAGTGTTATTGCCCGACCGGTGCTCAACACGGGCTTCGTTGACAACGCACGGCATCATTACATTGACATCAGTTTTGTCACAAAAGTTTATCAGTAAAACAGGTGTTTATTTGAGTTGAAACAAAGTTTACTCGATATATAAATATAATTTTGCTAATAATTATTATCAAATAAAATGTATTATCATTTCTATGTACTATAAAAGTCTACTAATTATAGCCAATTAATGTAACAATTTGTATATATATATTGTTATTAAGCACAATTGAATTTATGCATATAAGTTACTGTATTGAATTTACAATATTGAATCATACAATACTTATTAATCAACTAATAAAATGCACTTTTGGAGTCTTAAGATTTAATAAATAATATATAGATATTATTCTATATATTGAACAACATATAACTGAACATTAATAATAAATCAACAATTTATATATTAAACAGTTATTTTAAAAACAATTTTTAATTCTTTTCATTGATAGTTTAATTGAATATTATCACTATTATTAATATTTATTTAAAATACAATAAAAAATAAGATCATATGTAATATTCAATATTATTAATTTTTGTTATATAACTTTTTATGTGATAGTTCAATGCCGATAAATATAATAATAATTAATATTGAAGTACTGGTACTACACAGGTATGGACTAAATACTGTATATCCGTTTGTTATGAGAGTCGGAGCACAACTAAACCAAGTTTGTGTTTATACTGTGAAACGTTAGCTCTGGTGGTTAGGACTGACTTACTGTGTGTTATAAGAGGAGAGTCAGTCTCTGACGAAATACTAAACCAATTGAAAGTCCTTCTCTCTCTCTCTCTATCCCTCCCTCTCTCTCTTTTTCTTTCTCTCTCTCTCTCTCTCTCTCTCTCTCTCTCTCTCCCATAGCATTGCACTCGTAGTGCAGGGCATTCAATATTGCACATAATACTGTATTAGAGCAAATGTAACAGCAATTAATTTTGTCATTAATTGATTTTAATAAATATATATATATATCAGTTGTTTTTTAATTACACTAAAAATGTTTTAATATAATTTTCAGATTAAGTTTATATTTGTTATGTTTGTGAAAATGTAATTTTATTCCACTTATTGATACTATTATATACAGTATAAAAGTATTATTTAAAATTTACATAACAATAATTGCATAATTTTTGGTAATAATACTAAGAATAAATGTCAATTTTTTAGATGAGTACAAAATTATATTGATATTGAATTTTTTATATTATATTTTGTAACATTTTTTATTTTATTATTATATTTTAAAATGTCAATGATATGAAATAGTAAGTTCAGTATAATTAGTACATATCATATCAGATTGTAAAGTAATGTGATGTAATTTTTTATATGCTTTAATATATAATGAATTAATTAAAATATTATTTTTTATTTTATATTTTTTTGGCGTAAATTTAAATATTATGCAAATATTATGAATATATAATAAATAACTTAAAATTAATAAAAATATATTTTCAATTTTTAAAGGAAATTCTAATGTTTTGTTGTCTCCTTTTTATTATTAAATGATTATTCAAAACAATGGTTAACTCATCGGAAGTGAGCCATTAAAACAAATAATACTATAATTTAATGAATAGGAAACAGACAGATATGGGATTCAATTATATTGATTGTCACCTTAATTAGTCGGTACCAGAAGCACGTGCTTATGGATCACGGACTCTAAAATTAATGGACAATAACTATCGTAATGAGTAACACACAAAAAAAGAGATTATTATTTTTATTTTTATAAATAATAAGTTATCATTTTAGAGATAGCTATATAATAGAAAGGATATAATAACATAGGAATACCAAACATTGAAGTAAAACAAAAAAATTATGAAATAAAATGTTTGGCAATAATTGTATTCACAGGCATTACAAACAATGACTTGTCTTTAATTGCAACAATAATATGGCCATAAAATGCTATTATGAAAAGTGATACACGTTTTGAATATAAATTAATTTATATAGTTATATATCTCCCCTTAATGTCCCGTACTATCACTAAGTATTATAACAATTCACATCTGTTTTTAGAGATACTGTTTTTTATACCCTCACACCAGTCAAGTAACTATGAGTTTAGCCTAACTGTTGGATATCTCCTCAATGTCTATATATTACATTATATACTATGTTATTACTTATGATGAGCACAGGTAGTAGTCTTTTTTTGAGCGTTTCTTTCAATTCACTTATTCTATAGATATGAATAATTTCAAAACAATTATTATTTCAATATCAATGATAGCTTAAGCTATATCTCAAGCACTTATCAATGCATTAATTGAGTGAATGAGTAATTCATTATAATTATTATTCATAAATGTTTTATCTTAAAATCATTTATATTCATAATATTACTGCTTATATATATATATATATATCTATTTCCTATGACTTTCCTAACAATTATTATAAATCAAATAATTATTGTTGCTATTAAAACAAACACTACTTTTTTCGATAATCAACAGTTAAAAAAAAATTTTATTATTATCATTATTATATGGTTTTTAATTTTTAATGCCTTTCATCATCAGCTATGAGCGGAAGTTATTAATTTTATTATACTATCTTTATTTGAAATTATTTAATTTTTAGTAAAGGTTATAATTAGTTTATAAAGTTATCTAACTTTAAATATCTAAATAATTATTATAGATCTACTGTACTTATCATGTGTTTAACCAATAAAAAAGTTAACACATTAATGAACACATATTGAGATCTATTTTAAAATACTTGTATTTAATTTTAATATTGAATTGTTTAAATAGTAAATCAGATAACACTCTAAAATGCGATTATTGTAAATAAATATTCATATTTTGAAAGACTTATCGCTAAAATAGTGATTTAAAGACTAGTTATTATAATAATTTAAGTTAATGTTATTTTAAGTAAAAATAATTAACTAAACTTTTGATTACTCTAATATCATATAAAGATTTAGCAAAAAATACATTAACAATGAACGGTCGATAAATTTTGAAGTTTTATTAATTTTAAATAATTTTATATAACATTATTGTAATAAATTTGTAATAGACATTAGCCTTAAAATAATATACTGTAATTTTTTATAAATTAGTACAAGGGCTCAATATTAATATATATATTACAATTTAACAATTCAATTAAACAACAAATTTTGTGATAAAATAATTATCACACATTATATTTTGCATACAAGTTATATTTTGTTTTATATTTTACCAAATTATAACTTTTTATTATGTCATATATATATATATATATATATATATAAATATATTTTCAAATTTTAATAATAGTGACAAAATAAAAAATTTTAATCTATTTGTTGTAATATATTATTGTGTGTAATATACAACTATATTAAAAGTAAAAAAATTTAATTATCATATTTAATAATTGCAATAATAATGAAAAAGTATAATAAAAGCAACAGCAAAAATCTTGTCCTTTATTTATATATTATAAAATTTGTATTTATATGAAACTTATTTCAAAACCAAATTAATTTTATACAACAAAAAGATTATAAATTACAAAAACCTTTGCACAAAAACTAAGCAAAAATATTATTTATACATAAATTTATATTAAATATTAAGATAATGCTAATAGTGAACTAATGGCATAAATAATTAGCCTTAAATGAATCATTGTCTCAATTATATATACAAAAATATTTTAGTCCTAAATATTATTACCAACTGATTAATGAGTTATGCGTTTGGGATTTAATCTCTCATAACTTTTTTCAACAGTTTTTTGTGTTAATTTATATTTTGTTAAAATAAAATCTTTGTTTATACGTCAAAATCATCGATCATTGTTAGCCTTAATTTATATCCTATATATAATATTTAATGCATAATAAAGTATATGTATTGTGTACTTACGTTAAAATGTAATCAATAATTCAAAAAATTATATTATTAAATTTCTACGCTAAATATTAGATAATGTTTTGTAAAATATTATGTTTTGATAAATTAATTTAATAAATAATATATTTTTTGTCATTTATATTGTGTGGCAATTATTTATTTTGTATTTGATCATTATATAATAAATTATTAGCTTTATTATAATTAGATAAATACTATTATTACACATTAGTTTAGACTATATATTATAATAATTAACTTAAAAAATATAAATGTCATTAACTAAGTTGTTGCGGCTTTTAGTTCAACAAACCATAAACTTATAGATAATAACAATTATTTTTTGTTGCATTAAATAATTACAAATTCTTGTCGTTTTTTCCCTAAAAAACTAATAATCAAAATAAATTCATATAATCTTTTACATCGTTTTGATATATTTATACAACAAAACAATGTATTGCATAATTTAAAAGCTAATATAACAACAAACAACTAATAATAATAACAAGACATCAACAAAATTAATCGACAAACTAAGTAAACTAATTTGATAAACAATAATAGTTTAGATAAGCTAATACACGTAAATGACAGCTAATGTCAATTGACTTATAAATTATTATTACATTTTAAATATTATTTGCAAATATCATTGAACTTTAATTACCAGACAAATATGTAATATATTTGATAATTATTATTAAAAGTAATTACAATTTTTTTATAACTTTAGTATAACTAATGCATAACTTAAGTATAAAAATTGTATAAGATATAAGTAGGTATTGATATTTAGGACCAAAAAAATAAACAATTTATAAATAGCTATTTGTAATCATTGGTAATCTTATATTAGTGTAATTATTAGCTTCATTAGTCTCTATTTATTTTATATAAATTAAGCAGTTAGCAATTTATTAGTAAGTTACAAATACATTTATGTATTAAAGTTTAAATGATGAAAAAATCAATTAATTGACAAAACAATTTGTATAATGATAAACATTAACAATTTAACTTATATCGACGCTTAAATTGCTTTACAAACGATTAATAATTGAGGCATTTAATGAAAAATTAATTGTTTTTTGTGTTCAATCAAAGTTTACCTCAAATTTGTTTTACTTT